CTGGCAGGGCTGGGGGCTACTGAGGGGAGTTCTGAGCTGGGGGGCAGGAGCTTTGTGGGGTTTGGTGGAAGGAGCCTTCTCTCTCACTGACTCCGCCCCACTGTGGCCTGACTCCGCCCTGTGTTGCCCCGGCAGCGCACGGGTGCGGGGCCAGGGTGAGGGGCGGGCGGCGCCCCCAGACCCACGGGCCGACGCCATCGACAGCTCAGGAGGCCCAGTGCTGCCCCTGCCCTCCGGCGCCGCCCTCTCAGCCCTGGGCCTGGCCCCAGGGCTTGGGCGTGAGCAGCTGGAGAAGGCCCTAGTCGTGCAGGAGTCCGAGAGGTGAGTGCCCCGCCCCCTTTTTGAGGCCCTGCCCATGATGAAAAGAGAGGAGTATGTCCTGGGCAAGTATATATGTAGGCTGCACTCCTGATGTGGAGGGAGGGGAGCATATATGCCCCACTCCTTCTGAGTTGGGAGGTGTATAGGCTCCGCCTTGAATGGGGGTGTTTAGGCCCCACCCCATAGCACCTCCTGGTGGAGCAGGCATTGCTCAGCCCCCCCCCCCCCAACTTGTCTGTCCCTCTGGGCCACGCACTGATCCAGTCCCCTTTCCCGTGTCTGTCTGGCAGACGCAAGAAGCTGCGTTTCCACCCACGCCAGCTCTACCTCTCGGTGAAGCAGGGGGAGCTGCAGAAAGTTGTGCTCATGCTGCGTGAGTGTTCAGGGCAGGTGCAGGCCTGGGAGGGTCTCCCTGTGGTCCCGGGGACAAACCCTTGGGGGGGCCCCTGCCTGGTGTGGGCAGCTAGGGCATGGATCCCCCATTCCAGGGAGCGGCTTGAGGGAGGGACAGTGACTCTGTTCTGGGCTTGTCTGACCCTGATTCCCCCCCCTAGTGGACAACCTGGACCCCAACTTCCAGACTGACCAGCAGAGCAAGCGCACCCCGCTGCATGCCGCCGCCCAGAAGGGCTTCTTGGAGATCTGTCACGTGCTGCTCCAGGTGGGCGGTGGAGCCTGGTCTGGGGGCGAGGCTTAGTTCTGGGGACCAGATCTGAGCATGGAGGGACTGATGTGGGGGCTGGCAGGCAATGTGTAGGAAGAAAGGGGTAGGGCTTGGTTTGGGGGGGGAGGCTGAGGAGTAGGGGAAGCAAGGGGTGGGTCCTGGGTGGGGTTAGCTGCTTGAGGGGGTGGGGCCTTTATGCTATGGCAGTAGGGCGGGGCCTATGGCAACTAGAGGTGGGGTCTAGGGGGGCTGGAGTGATGAAGAGGAGGAGCCTGGCTACTATGAGAGGGGCTGGGAGTGGGGGAGGAGCTGGGCTTTAACCCCGTCCTCCCTGGGGCAGGCGGGCGCCAACATCAATGCGGTGGACAAGACGCGTCGGACGCCACTGATGGAGGCCGTGGCCAACAACCACGTGGAGGCTGCACGTTACATGGTGCGCCGCGGTGGCTGCGTCTACAGCAAGGTTAGGGATGTCCAGTGCCCCTTTGGTGGGCAGGACATGGATATGGGGCAGGGAGAAATAGTCCTGGGGTTGAGGGGAGGCGGAGGAATATGGTGGGGCTGTGGAGTTTGGAAGATAAATAGTTCCTCTGTCTAGGGCAGATGGAGAGGTGTGGGGAATAGAGAAATAATTCTTCTGTGTAGAGCAGGTGGAAGGATATACAGGATGTGAGATTTTAGAGAGAAATAGTTCCTTAGTGGGGTGTAGGTGGAGGGATGGGGGGAATTGGGGGTTTGAAGGTAAAAAGTTGTCCTATGCTGGGTGGGTGGAGGGAGACAGGATTTGGAGCATGGGGAAGTGGTTCCCTATGTAGGGCAGGTGGCAGAAGGCAGAGTGTGGAGTTCAGTGGCAAGCAGGTGGAGGGATAAAGGGAGAGCATAAGTAGCAGAAAGTCTTTTAGGGGAGGACATGGAGCGTATAAAATAGTCCCTGGGCAGAAGGATGCATGTGGGAGTTCAGGGTGGGGTTGGTGGAAGAACACGTGGGCTTCAGTGATGGGGAGGTTGGTGGCAGGATACATGAGGGTGCATGGAGAGTTCATGGAGGAGGGGGGTGGTAGAACGTGGGGCTCAGCGAGGTGGGGGGCTGGTGAAGGGATGTGTGAGGGATTAAGGGGCAGTTGGCAGAGGGATACGTGGGGTCAGTGGGGTGGGTTGGAAGAGGGATATATGGAATGGGGGCGATGGCGGAGGAATATGTGTGGAGTAATGCTCGAGGGCTGGTTGGTGAAGGGATGCGTGGGGTCACTGGGGGGGTTGGTAGGGGGTGATGAGATATATGGGGTCAGTGAGGCAGGTTGGCAGAGTGCTGTACGGAGAGTAATGGGGCTTCGGTGAGGGGGTTGACAGAGGGATATGTTGGGTGTGGAGGCAGGATACATGGGGTCGGTGGCAGGGTATGCAGAGGGATACATGGAGTGTGATGGGGTTTCAGTGGGGGAGGGCGGGCACAGGGATACATGTGGGTGACAGGGCTGTGGTACAGTTAGACCCATGCAGCTGGGCTTAATTGGGGGTTGGGGGAGGGATTTGTGGGGCGAGTGCTGATCTGCGTGGGTGCAAGGACACATTAAATAGGCCCTACCCCCCAGGAAGAGGACAGCACCACCTGCCTGCACCTTGGAGGCAGCATGCTGACCCATTGACTGACTCCCCAGGACAATGGCGGCTGGACCCCCATCATCTGGGCGGCCGAGCACAAGCACATCGACGTCATCCGCATGCTGCTGACCCGCGGTGCCGACGTCACCCTCACAGACAACGTGAGCCCCCCGGGCTGCCCATGCTGCTACCCCTTTGTTTGTGTGGCATCCTGGGGAATCCTTGTACTGGCTGGTTTTGGGGTCCCCTGCATTGGGAGTCTTGGGGATCCTCTCTCCCTTGGGAGGTTTGGGGGTCCTAGTGGGGGTCCAAGCCACCCTTGCCTCTCAAAAGGTATTTGGGGTCTTGTATTGGGGTCCCCATTATGCTTGGGGTCTGGGTCTCCTGTGCTGGGGGTTTTGGGGTCCCCTTGCTCCTGCCTTTAGGAGTTCAGGTTCCCCCAGGATAAGGGTATTGAGTGTCCCCTATGCTCTTGGGGGCTTTGGGGTCCCCCGTGCTTGGGGTTTTGGGATACACTGCTCCTCTGTGTGGGGAGACTAGGGTGCCGATACGTTGAGGGTCCCTTTTGGCTCCTAGACTTAATGGAATCCCAAACACTTTGCTCTTGGATTGGGGGGGGGCTCTTCTGTAGGGGTTTCTGGGTGTCATGCTCCTGGATTTGGGGGTTCAGTGCCCCTAAGCTGGGCATTTCAGGGTCCCCCAGTGCTGGGATTGTGGGACACCCTTGTGCTCCTGGATTCCTGTGTGTGGAGGATTTAGGGTCTCTTGTCCTCCAAGTTTTGGGGTTCCCTGGATTTGGCAGCTCAGAGGACCTGAGCAGCACAGTTCAGGGTTTTCCTGCTGCTGCTTTGAGGGGTTCAGGTCCCCACCAGGTGGGGGATCTCGGAGTCCCATCTGTGCTGGGATTCTAAGGGGGTCTCATTCCTGGATTTGGGGGTTCAGTGTCCTGAGCTGGGAGGCTTGGGGTCCCCCTGCTCCTAGATTTGGGGTTCAGCATCTCAGCTGGGGATTTGGGGGTGCCACCATACCAGCTCCCTTTCCTCCTGTGTGTAAGGGTCCGGGTGCCACATGCAAGCTTCAGGGTCACCCCAAGTTGGGGGAGTTCTGACTGCGGGAGTTCAGGCCTCCTGGTGATGTCCCCCCAATACCCCCCTCCTGCTGTAGGAGGAGAACATCTGCCTGCACTGGGCCTCGTTCACGGGCAGTGCTGCCATTGCTGAGGTGCTGCTCAATGCCCGCTGTGACCTGCACGCAGTCAACTGCCACGGTGACACGCCACTGCACATCGCTGCCCGTGAGAGCTACCGCGACTGTGTCACGTGAGTGATGCGTGTGTGGGGACACCAGGGTGGCGGGGGCAAGAGGGACACTGCTTCACGTAGGCTTTTGTTAGAGCTAGCATGGTTGCATTACACAAGCATCACGCGTGTGTGGGGACGGGTAGAGGAGGAGACGCTTGTGCAGGGATATGGGGGTGGGAGGGACACTGTGCATGTGGGTGCTTGTGAGAGCTACCACAGTTGTGTTACACGAGTATCACATATGGGGGGGAACACATGTACAGGGACAGGAGGGTGGGAGGGGCACTGCTGCACATGAGCATTTGTGAGAGCTGCGTTACACAAGTAACACGTGTGTGTGTGTGTGTGTGTGTGTGTGTGGACCCAGCACATGTATGTTGGGAGATGGAGGGGGTGGTAGGGAACATGTCACTGCCACTGCTCTTGAGACTGTCACGTATGCAATGCATGCATTTAGGGAGCATGCGTATGTGGGGATTTGAAGGATGTCTGGGTTCATTTCCTGCTGGCAGTCCAGATGCCTGGCTTCAATCCTGGTTTGGGATGGGTGGGTGCTAGGGGCCCATACGCCTGGGTTCTCTGGGAAGGGAGTTAGGGTCTGGGAGCAGGAGGGGGGTGGATGGGAGCCCGGACACCTGGAGTCTTTGTGGGGGAAGTGGGAGCTGGGGAGTGATAGCAGGTGGCACAGAGAGCCCAGATACCTGGGTTCCTTTCATGCTGGGAGCCCAGATGCCTGGATTCAGTTGCAATTTGGGATGAAGGGACATTGGGAGCCCAAATGCCTGGGTTCTCTAGGATGTCAGTGGGGTGGGGCTGGGAGCCCTGCTGTCTGGGTTCTGCAGCAGGGCAGGGGGCCTAGATGCCTGGATCCCTGGCCTGACCCCCTGCCCTGCCCTGCCCTGCCCTGCCCTGCCCTGCCCTGCCCTGCCCTGCCCTGCCCTGCAGGCTGTTCCTGTCGCGGGGGGCCGACACAGAGCTGCGCAACAAGGAGGGCGACTCCCCGCTGGACCTGACGTTGGAGCACTCGGATGTGTGGGTGGCATTGCAGCTCAATCGCAAGATCCGCCAGGGGGCAGCCTCGCGTGGCCTGCGCACTGAGCGCATCATCAGCAGGTGGACGGGGCAGCAGGGGGTAGGGTAAGGGAGGGGAAGGGGGTGGAGCCTGGACATAGAGGGCACCATCAGCAAATGGGTGGGTATGGGGCCAGGACCCAGGTGCCGGCGTTCCACAGGTGCATCTGTGCGCCCCACACACCTGGATCATGTACGTGCATCTATGTGTGTTTGTGAGCTTGTGTGGCCCAGACACCTGGGTCCCTTGCATGTGCCTGCATGAGCATGGTTGGGATACTTGGGTTTCTTCTGTATGCGTGCGTATGCAGGGCTGGACACTTGAGTCGTGTGTGTCTATGGTTGGAGCCTGGATGCCTGGGTCCTGTATGTGTGCATGGCCTGGGCACCTGGGTCCTGTGTCTGCGTGTGCGTGTGGCCTGGATGTCTAGGTTCTGTGCCTTGGTGTGTGTGCATGTGTGGCCTGGATTCCTGGGTCCTGTGTATGTGAGAGAGACCCAGACACCTAAGTTGTGTGTGCATGGGGCCTGGAAGCCTAGCTCCTTCTTGTGCTGGGAGCCCTGTATGCCTGGGCCCCTCACACCCCCCCATGTGGTGGCAGGGACGTGGCGCGGGGCTACGAGAACGTGCCAATCCCATGCGTGAACGCGGTGGACGATGAGCCCTGCCCCAGTGACTACAAGTACATCGCTGAGAACTGTGAGACCTCGGCCATGAGCATCGACCGCAACATCACCCACCTCCAGGTGCTGGGGGGGGGTCCCTGGGTCACCTGCCACCCCCACCTTCTCTGTGGGGAGGGGGTGGAGATGTCTGCCCCTTCTGGGTGCCTATGGGGGCCAGCACCTCCCTGCTGTAGATGGGGTGGGGGCGGGGGGAAGTGCTTGAATACCGTCGTTGCACTGCTCACCACGCCTTCACTGCACCCCCAGTATCCTACAGTGTCCTGCTCCTGCCCCCAAGAGGAGCAGCTGTAGGGCTTCCCAGGCTCTGAAGGGGCAGGGGGGCTAGAAGGGCATCCCTTTCTCCCTGGGGCTATAGGGTGGGGGCCTGACCTTGACCCCTGCTGCCCCCCCGAGGGAGGGACCCAGGCATCCGGGGCCGGCTGACCCGCATCTGTCTGCCCGTGCCCAGCACTGCACCTGCCAGGATGACTGCTCCTCCAGCAACTGCCTCTGCGGCCAGCTCAGCATCCGCTGCTGGTACGACAAGGTGAGCCCCACCCCCAGTCCCTGGGGAGTGGATGCCCTATCAAGGGTGAGGAGTGGGGTCGGGTGTAGACTGGTAGTGGTGGGGGGAGAATACCAGTAATGGGGCTACAGGTTGTGAGTCGGGCCGGGGGGGGTGGCAGGGGCTGTGGGTTGGGAGTGAGGGGCACTTCAGGGTGTGGGAAGGGGCAGAGCCTGGGATGACATGACCCTCCTCCCACCCCCAGGACGGGCGGTTGCTGCAGGAGTTCAACAAGATAGAGCCACCGCTGATCTTCGAGTGCAACCAGGCCTGCGCCTGCTGGAGGACCTGCAAGAACCGCGTCGTGCAGAGCGGCATCCGGTTGGGACCCAGGCGTCTGGGAATAGCCAAGGGGAGGGTGGGGGCAGAGCTTCAGAGAAGTTGGGGGACCCAGGTGTCTGGGGATGGTGGGGGGAGGGGGTGTCAGTGAGGCTGGGTGTCTGAGCGGCAGTACTGACCCCGTCTCCCCGCAGGGTGCGTCTCCAGCTCTACCGCACAGCCAAGATGGGTTGGGGGGTGCGGGCACTGCAGGCCATCCCGCAGGGCACCTTCATCTGCGAGTGAGTCTTGGGGGCCTGATCCAGGCCTGATCTGGCGGGGGGCATGGTGTTCCTCCTGATCTAAACCCCACCCATGCCCCTCACTCCCAGCCTGCAGTCCCCTGCCCCCACCACAGCTCTCCCTCATTGGGGGTGGGGTGGAAATTCCTTGGACGTTTCCCACAATGCACCTGTGCCGTTGCATCGCCTGGCAGATACGTGGGGGAGCTGATCTCGGATGCAGAGGCCGATGTGCGGGAGGACGACTCCTACCTGTTCGACTTGGATAATAAGGTGGGGTGGTGGGCCCTGACGCCTGGCTTCTCAGAGGGATTGGAGGAGCTGGGAGCTCAGCACCTGGGTTTCCTGCAGGTTGGGAGTCGGGGCTGGGGGATGAAAGGGGAGGGTGGGGCGCTGGGTCCCCCGACGCCTGGGTTCCAGTGCCCTGTCCGCCCCTCTGCCAGGATGGCGAGGTGTACTGCATTGACGCGCGCTACTATGGCAACGTGAGCCGGTTCATCAACCACTTGTGTGACCCCAACATCATCCCCGTGCGCGTGTTCATGCTGCACCAGGACCTGCGTTTCCCCCGCATCGCCTTCTTCAGCAGCCGCCACATCCGACTCGGCGAGGAGCTGGGGTGTGCTGTGCTGGGGGCAGGGCTGGGGTCCAGGCTAGCAGCCTGGGTGGGAGGGGCTAGGAGAAGTCAGTGGAGCCTTGGCAGGTGTCTGGGGGCAGGTGGGGGCATGGAGTAAGGGGGTGGGGTCAGCTATGCGGGCTGCTGTGGAGCTAGGATGATGGGTAGGGGCAGGTGGTGTGGGCAGAGCTAGGGGCATGGGGTCTAGCGGGGAGCCCAGGGGCAGATGTGGGAGGGCTGGGCAGGGCTAGGATGAGTGGATGGAGCCAGGGGACATGGGCGGGACTAGGAATTGGGCTTGGTTGAGTAGGTGGAGCTAGGGGCCAATGGGCGGAGGCTTTTGAGGGCTAGGCAGAACCCACCTAGGGCCCCAGCAGACTTCCCCCCGACCCCCCACTGCCTGGGCAACAGGCTCTGTGGGTGAGGCTGGCTGACCCTGCCCCCTGGCCCAGGTTCGACTACGGGGACCGGTTCTGGGACATCAAGAGCAAGTACTTCACGTGCCAGTGCGGGTCGGAGAAGTGCAAGCACTCGGCTGAGGCGCTGGCCCTGGAGCAGAGCCGCCTGGCACGCCTCGATGCCCCCCATGACCTGCTGCCCGACCTGCCTGCCCTGCCCCTGCCCGCGCCCTGAGCCCTTGTGCGACGGGGGCACTTCCGTTCGTTCCTCGTACACGGGGGGGACCTCCTGTGCTCCCTGGCCTGCTGGGAGACGGGGCTCCCCCTGGGCCCTGGTGCGAGGCCTTGGGGCCAAGGGAGTGCTCCTGGCCCCTGGTGCAACCTTCTTGTGCAAACGGGTGGGACCTCGTGCCTGGGCCCACCCGTTTGCCTTAGGCGAGGGGGCCTCGTGCGATGCCTTAGAGGAGGGGGAGTGCCCCTGGGCCCTTGCCCTACGGCCTCATGCAAGGAGACTAGGGTTGCCGTCATCGCGGACAGTCGGGTTGTCATCTGTCTGCTATTGATACAAACCTGGATGCCTTTATGTCCTCTATTTTTCTCTTCAAGAGAGGCATCGGGTTTTGTAGCACAAGGATAGAGTAGCAGAAAACAAATGCTCCTGATACTGGCCACCCTGGAGGTGACCCCTTCCCCGTGCCCCCGGGTCTGAGCGCCTTAACCCCCTCCCCTTTTGTTGCCACAAAGGAACCAATAAACTTTGCTTTGATACAAACTGCCTGGCCCAGGCCTGGCTTTTTTCTCCTTTTATTTTTATTTCCTGGGAGGTGGGGGGCAGCAGGACCCCTGAGTCCTGTTGGTGGGGGGGGGGGCGCGTCCTGGATGCCTGGGTTCTTTTTTTTTGGGGAGGCAGGACCCCTGGGTACAAATGAGGGGATTCAGGGCGCCTGGGTTCTTTTTTTTGGGGGGATG